GCAGTAACATCTGAGCAATCTCTTTTTTACTTATGTGTTATCAGGAAGCCATGATCAAAGATACATTGGAACGCACACGTGAGCCAAACTTAAACCTCAAGGCTTACTTTCTGAATGCGTACGCCCACCCGGAATTCAGAGTTGGAGAAGATCTAGAGAAAGAAATGGCTGTGGAGGATCCTAATAGGACACCGGATTTAGTGGCAACTAAGCGTGGCTCATGGAGGAACACTTCTTTGCCTAGCCAACATAACTCCAATAGTTCACTCTGCTGATTGCTCTGTTTTTTATAGTGATTCTTTTATGTTCTATGTACATATGAACATTTGTATTAGATGTGAGGTAAAAAAAAAAAAACCATTGAAAAACCATTAAGATTAGAATTGTATCATATGATTAGGAAAAAAACAAAAAGAAAAAAACATACTTGGATCCCTTGAGCAATCATCTCATCATTTCTCCAACTACTGCCATTGCTTCGACGAGTTGCATATAAAACAACGTACTTTTTAGATCCATCACTTGTTTTCTGAATTCTAGGAATGGCTTTTTCAAAAGCAATCCCTATGTGACATTTGTTCTCTGGTGATGGGATGTAGAGAGTTTCTGTATTTTCTACTATGGTTGCTTGGGGACCATAACCCTCTATTTATATAGATTATCAAATGTTAATTCGACATTCATCAAATTAGAAATTACTAAAAGTATCCACATATTAATATTTCATAACACTTATGCCCATAGCCTTTTACTTTATTATAAAAGGTGACCACTATAGAATTATGTTAATAATTAATGACCCTAACACATTTGATATTAACATATATGACCCCACTTAATGATCTTACAATCTCCCATTGGGTCATATATGTGCCTGAAAATATGTCGTTAATTCCCGAGCATAAAACAATCTCGTCCATTAGTTATAACAACATAGAATCATGGCGGCTTTTGTTATATCAATCTCAACTAAACCTTCCATGATCACTGAAATCAATATAACCAAATGACATAGATCAATT